CCCCCCCCCCCCCCCCCCCCCCCCCATCATCGATCTCTGAGCTCGAAGCTTTAGCCCCTTGACTGCAGGCTCTGTAACTCTCGCAATGACAGCATACTTCACACACAAAGCGGCCACTTTGTCACTTTTGATTCGCTGCGTATGTTTGCATGCGAGACTACTGAAGTCGCTTCGACCGCGCGCTGGATGTGCACGCAACATTAGCATCTCACCTGCGGATAGAGGTCAGAAGCGAGGTGCGCGTGGCACATGATCACGCAAACAAGGAACGATCACGACTGCCAAGCAAGCAAGCGAAAAACGCGCGTGACTGAGCATTGTGTTGAGTGAGTGAGAGACATTTTGCGTGACCAAAGACTGGGCCGCAATTCAGAGCGGCGAGCGGAGCAGGCTAAAGGAGGGTATCGATCGAGCTCGAGGAACTGCGTCTCCCCGAAAACTTCGGGCAGCCTGTGTGAAGACGGAGGCTTAAGAGCTTGGCCTTCAAAAGCCACTTCTTCGCGCACTGAACATGGCCAGCCGTCGTACCTAGTGGCGAAACAGTTGCTCGTGAGCTGAAGAGTCACGAGTACTCGTCTGCGCGCGTCATGTGCACCGCTCGATGCCACTCACCTGTTCGATGCTAATGGCGCCTTGCTTTAGCGCGAGCGTGCTGCCATCGTCTCCTGCCACCTGCAGCGCGCCATCCGAAGCGATTTGCACAGGCAAGCCAGGGCGTCGCTTCAGCGCGTTCGAAACAACGTCGCCGTCGTCGTCATCATCCATACCATCATCAATCTTGTCGGCCACATCATCATCGTCGTCGTCATCATCCATGCCACCACCAGACTGGAAACGGCTCCTCGGATTGGAGAAAGCCGCACCGCTTCGCGGACCGTTGGACCAAGGATTGGTCGGGCTCGACGGCTGGTTGGCGTCACCAGAGGCATTTCTGTCGAGCTGAGGGCTGCTGCTAGGCGTACCTCCAAATGTAGTTCCTGGCTTGGCTGAGAATGCGCTAAAGTCTGAGACGACCTTCCGTGAGCCTGGAGGACTCGACGGGGAAGCTCCGAAGCCACCTCTGCCACCCTCGGGTGATGTTCCTGCGGAAGAGAATCGTCCATAACCAGCGCTTGTCCGACTCGATGAGCTCGATCCGAACCCGAAAATGTAGGCCATTGCTGACCTCGAAGAGCCCGATCCATCAGCCAATTCACCAGACGTGCGAGGATGTGCGTATGGTGTGAAGGGTTTGTAGGCAGATGAGACGGATCGCTCTCGGAGGTATTTCTCAGAGAGTCGACTGCCAGTAACTCTGCGGATGTGAGGTCTTGCCGAAGCCAGATCAGGCGCCGTCGACCAAATTTGAACGTTGTGCAGTGACTCTGGGGGTATTGTAAGTCAGCGAACGAGAATCACCTGAGTCGGCATCAACCAAGCTCACCTGGCGTTTCCCGGTATATGCTCTCGACGATCAGCTGCTTCGTAACTTCCCGACGCAACGTTAGACTGTTGTATAGATCCCTCGTGACCGAGTCCATAACGTCATTCTCCGCTGGGTTGTCCAGACTCATTTGTGCGATGCGCTGAGCGACTTGATCACCGATTTCTCGATGCAGCCTGTCCAAGGACATGCATTCGCCTGCGGCCCCGATGATGACAGGTGCCAACAAGCTAGCAGTGGTGAGAGGCAGCAATTGGCCACCTGTGATGCGCACGAGGCCCTGATAAAAGTCTGCAGCATGCTGATAGCCTGAGAGGGCTGGTTCGCACGCGACCATGAAGAGTGGGATGCCGGATGCTGCCATGGCTCTGGCTACTTGTAGCGGATCAAAGCCGTCTGGGGAGCCCTGTGTGAAGCCGTCGCCATACTGCACAGTGCCGAGATCGAAGGTAGGGCCTCTGAGCTCTGGCAGTACATCACCTCTCTTGCAAGCAGTCACTCACTTCGCCGATCCCATGGGGTGGGGCATCTGCAATCAAGACGGCTAGCCGCGTAGCTTCAGGCCTCCAATCAAGGTCCAATGCGGCCTTCATGGCGGCCGTTACAGCCTCTGGTCCATCCCCACCACCGGACGCATAAAGCGTGCCCAAATTTGCCTTGATCACGTCAATCGATTCGGTGAAGCCAACTGTGGAGTGAGAGGTTGGGAAAAGTGAGAACCTTTGGCGTGCACACATGTGACTCCACTTACAATTCTTGACAATGTAGGTGTGGTCTTGAGGCGGATGATCCCTGTATGCAATCAAACCGATTCTTAGAGCGCTAGGAGCGGACAGGTGCTCTGAGCGGATGATCTGCGAGACGCGGAACCGATCAGCCGCTGTGGAGCAAAGGTGCAAGGTTCGCGACTACTCGACGCACCTCTTCTGAGATGGTTTCGATGTTCTTGGTCGCAGACGCAATGTAGCTGCCCATGGAGC